GGGTCAGGGGAGGTCTGCGCGGCATGTGGGTCACCTCCAGGCGGGGATCGGACTCGTGCTGAAGTGGCTTTAGCTTCTTAGTGCTGTGCTCTAACCCGCTGCGCCACCAGGGAGGTGCAGCACACCCTTTTAAGGATGTGAGTTGCCACTTTATTTCAGAGACAGAAAGTACAAAGAAATACCTGCACCAAGGTCTAGTGGGTTTTTTTGTTTGTTTTTCTTTTAAGGATTAAAGACATCTGACCGCTGGCCCTCCTTAGGTTCTTAATGGAGCACCCCTCTGGGAGCTCCCGGAGTGGGGGCCCCAGGAAGCCACACACACCGTGGCCTGAGAGTGCACGTCTTGTGTCCCAGGGGCTTCCGGGGGCCAGCAGGCGCTCCAGGGTCAGGCAGTCTCAGACCCTCCACGGTGTCGCGGGTCAGCTCCGGCAGGACGGGCAGGACCTGACTTGCCGCTTGTCTTGGCCGCCTCTAGCTGGAGTACCTGATGAACCGCATCAAGAAAGTAGAGGAGTACGAGAAGCAGCTGAACAAGCAGAGAATCTGGGACTGGGAAGAGTATAACATGATCAAGATCAAGCTGGAGCAGGACGTGCAGGTGTGCCTGGTTCCTCCGGAGGTGTTGGGGTGCAGCGTGGGGGCTCAGCCGCCACCGTAATGTTCCAGCAGCCGTCCGCTCGAGTATGTGTTACTGTCTGAGTTCTTTTACGTGACCAATGTCTTCAATACACCAGGGGGAGCTGCCAGCTGGGTCAGTGCTGACGGGTCTGCGGACCTTGACGCGTGAGGCGTCGGGAGGCTGAGTCTAGCTGGGAAATAGCCCTCAGTGAATCAGAGGCCCAGCGTGGCACCGTGGTACCACGCATTGCAGGCACTTAGCGCACCGGGTGGCTAAGTCTCACTGGTGTGTGTAAAGGGAGAATCCGCCATCAGCGCTTCTCTGTGGGGTGCTGAGCTTCTGAGGCAAAGCTGCTGAGGTAGTAAATGGTGAGTCTTGGGGCCACCTGGGGCTGTCCGGCCCCATACCCCACACCCCACATCCTTCCTCTTATCCATCCAGCAGTCGGCTGGGCTGTGCAGTGAGGCACATTCTGATTCCCCACGGCAAAGAGCCTCTGCTCATTAGAGCCACTCAGTGTAACAAAGCCAGACGAAGAGACTGTGGGCTCACAAAGCAGCAAAGGCGAATGGCTTGTCTGCTCCAGAGTGGGGGCAGGTTCCGGAGGGTGAGGTCGGCCTTCTATTTTGTGTTTCCCAGCCTACTATTTTGTGTTTCCACACCAGTTTTAGAAAAATCACCTCTAGTTACATGATTTTAATTTTTAAAAGATTTTATTTACATTTTGCTCTTGTTTGCTAGTGAGTTGTTGGCCCAGAGCCAGCCAAAGAGAGAGAAGGAACCTATATGAGTAATATAAAAGAGTGAGCAGAAAGGGGTGTGGGCTGGCTAGGAAATTGCTCCTCTCTGCAAAATGGGGTCCAGGGCTTGAGACTGGGGATAAAGAGGCCCCTTGGGGTCACTAGGGTCAGCCCAGAAGGCCAGAGGGAAAGACTGTTTCAAATTTCTTCCTGCAGGGGTGTGGAGGGCGGTTGGCAGGAGCAGTTTCCCCAGGATAAAGGGGGGAGGCGTGTGAGCAATCCCTGCGGTAGCTTTAACAGTGAAGGACTTTTGCCACAGATTAGACCATGATCTGGATAAATTATTCACAAGAACCAAGCCCTAGGTCTTGTCATTAATCTTGGGGACATAAGGTATAATTTTGCCAACTATCTTTGGAGAATTCAATCCGCCAAGGCATTTAACAAAATCAGTTACAACAACAACATTTTAATAGAAAACAACAACTAATGTATGAAAACCAAGGATAGTTCTATATTGAGACTAAAACTTGGGATCAAGTTAACATGGCGTCATCAATACTGGAATTATGCTGCTGGTGTAGCATAAGGCATGGAAGACGAATGAAAAACTAGCTTAGCTCATGTCATCTGCTGCAGACTGCTGTAGCAAGCGCGCTGTGACTTCAGCCCTGTGCCCTCAGGAGGGGCATGGCGAGCAGAGGCTGGCGTGGGGCAGGACGGAGCTGCAGGAGGGCTGATCTGTGGCCGGGGGAGGCAGTCAGCCTGGGGCTGCCGGCCGCACCTCCCTCCCCTGGTCCTAGGATCACACGCTAGCGAGGAGGGAGAGGAACATTCGCCACGAAAGGAAACCAAGTCAGCTGACATTCAGCCATACACACAAGCAGAGAAGAAAGTGTAAATTAAGACAACCGGTGACGGGCTTTTTGACGATGAAATCAGCACAGATTTAAATTCTTTCAGGTCACAGATAACAAACGTGATCTAATTAGAGTTTCGTGCAGTGAGCTCAGAGAGTGAAAGCCTTACCAAGCAGCCTTGTAAATTCTGATGTTTAACGTGGCGATACTCTAGGGGTGGTGCGATAGATAACCGGCTTGGAATGCAGCTTATGGAGAGCCTTGCTTCGACCTGGAAATTTGACTTCGGACACTCTACCTTAAGGAAGTAAACAAAATTGACACCCCCCCCCAATTTTACAGATATTTTCCCAACATTACTTTTATAGTTTTGAAAAATGTAGAACTGCACATACACAGCTATTTCAGAGACACTTAATAAGTGAGTCCGTAAAACATGCACAGTTACAATTACGTTCATAAAATCTTCTCGGGGAGAATTCTTGTGCTGTGATGTCCAGGGGAAGAGCAAGCTATAAACTGCAGCTGCAGCTTGATCTCCGTTGTGAAGACGTGCCTGATGCGTTGGCAGAAGTTGCCTCTGGGAGGTGGAATAATGGGTCTTTTCTCCTCCCTCTTCTTTTCCCCTCAGAATACTTCCTGAACAAATATTACTTTCACTACCAGGAAGTTTTTACAAGGAAATGCATGCCAACTAGAGAAAGAAAATATAGCTGGGGCTAGCGTAAACTGAGAGCAACGCTGAGTTGCCCTCCCCGTGGCCAAGATGATCTTCCTTTGCCCACAGGTTAAAGAGTAAATGTTGTGGGCTTCTGTCCTGACAGAGACGTCTGTATTCTTGTCCCATCACATACATTTAAAACTTTCTAGGATAATTAAATAGAATACTCGTGACTCATTCCCTAGATTACAACATGGGGGCGGGGCGGGTTCCACATGGACCTTAGAAATGACTCCCCCTCCTTTGTTCGCCTCTGCCCCCCTCCCAGCCACCCCCAACCTGGGGATGACTCAGACACGGTGGGGCAGGGGAGGCCTGGAATCCCCCAGCTGCCTGGAACCCCCATCTCTGTTGATTCCTTGGCGAGGCCGTCAAGGT